GAAATCTAAGTAGATGACATCATAGGCCTTCTTATCATCAACCTCCTGAGTAGCTTCCTCAAAAAACTCCAACAGATTTGTTAAACCATTTTTGTTGTTGAGGCACAAGTCATCAAATTTGTGACTCAAGTGGAGTTGTGAGTCATGAAACTTGAGCCCCTGCCTATGTAAGTTTTATTTACCTTTAGTGATTAAAACTTTCTGCAACAAAAACCCGCCACAGTACATTTTTGGTTAAGACCTTCATAAGCAGAAAATGAAAATAGAGCCTCCACCCTGTCTCGATTGTCCTCACAATGTCTGTGTATATGCAGAAAGTGATGCATCCTTTCCAACGATCTCAGGATACCTTGCATTCAGACGTATGAAAATGCAGACAGCAGAGAATTAATACACACTGAAATTATAAAATTTATGTTGTGGTATCCAGAGGGGAGATTATAACGTCAAGTCTTTCCATCAGTTTTGCCAAGTGAAGTTCCAAGTTATCAGATTTGTGACTTAAGTCCATGTCGAGTTGCGAGTCATTGACTCGAGTCCCCACCTGTGTTTAATACTGCAATAATTTAGCACAGTTGACTCAGACCCTGTAGTGACAGTGTGGACAAAACCTGAAAATGGCTAATGTAATATCTGCCTTTTTAAACCTTAGCAGTCTGGATGTAACCAATGCCAGTCAGAAAAAGAAGGACTTCTGTATTACATAAATTGCATTTTAAGTGTGTTACCTGACCAGCTAACAGAAGGTATTATGCACGGATTTAGCAATTGTTTGTTTTGGAAAGATTTTTGGATGAAGTTGTTTAACGTCAAGTCTCAGTAAGTCAACGGTGTTGTAACGGTGTTGTGAGGTTATAATTGTATTCTATCTTGGCACTTTGCACCGTTACATAAGCGGTTTGTTGGTACCCAGTAGGCAAGCATGGTAATAGGTTATGTGTGTTATCAGACACGTGATTTAATACATAGGGTAAGCAATATGTGTTCCTTCCCTCCTTCAGTGCATACTCCAAATTTCACCATGTTGTCATGGTAATCCAATTACGCAAAAGCATCTGCGGTAATAGCAGGTTTGCATTAGTCTTATAAAGATAGGCATTGTTCTGGTTTTCGGAAACCATAAGTCACTTGGAATATCGGAGAATGTATTAACTGCTTTTATCACAGAAGTGAAAGTTCTTTTGCATCAGAGTCCAAATGTTACTGCGCTGAAATGGGGTCAGGGAGGGGTGTGGGTAGATCAAATGTGTGCAGTGAAAATGACTGGCTTGGAGAGCGATTTCTAAAAGGACCTCCAGTGAGACCACGGCTCAGACCGCGTCCCAGGCAGCACGGCAGTTCGCCATACAGCCCGCCGGAGCCTGAGGTTAAGAACCGGCTGAACGTCGCAGAGCCATCCAGAGGCAGATTATAGTGTGTTAAGTCCGTTGGTCGACTATTTTGATTATAACCTTAAATGAAATGTGCGCGGTTAGCCAGAGCTACTCTTACGACTCTCTAGTGAGACATGTTTGCAGACACTTTTGTCCAAAGTGATGTATAAGTGAGGCAGATACTGTAGCACGTTACAAACATACTGTATGACTGTCAGGGTGTTGGTTAGTCATACGTCCAGTTATTCTGAGCTTCCAGTGGATGCCCAGTGCCAGTGTAAGCAGTGTTCCACTGCTATTCCATCATTATTGTATTATATTCTACTCTATTAGATCAAGAGCTGCACAGCATCGTCCAAACAAAGCAAGAAACTAACTGCTATTAAAATCAGCAGGAAGTGCAAAAGGCCATTCAGGGAACATTAAGTCCTTTTAAATGTGAGCATATAGCATTTTTCAAACTAGATGGCATCAGTTTCATTCTGATCCTAAGCTTTTGAAATATATGCATATGTTAATATCTAATTACTATATTTGTGACATTGATTTGGAATAACAACCAGATGTGTATATCGGTTTTCGATGAATAAAAACCTTTCTGTGCTCTAAACAATTTATAGCCATGTGGATTGTAAATGAGCAAATGGAGTTTGTGTCAATTTGTAGTTTGATTTAAATAAAAAATTAAAAACTTGAAAAGGACGTTTATTAGAAACATAGGAAGTTACTTGTGGATACGCTTGTAAAGTTCCCAGGGTTGCAGGGCAAAGGCTGAGCGTTAAATTATAAACCAGGTACAACTACAGTATATCCTTCAATGCCTGTATGGATACCTGCACCAGGGTGACCGTAAATGAATTTGCACTTGTGTTCTCCATACTTGCGGATATCTAGAACTAACTTGCATCTAAGTCTAAATGAAAGACAGCTTGAAACATGGCAGAAAAAAATGAAACTTTCATAAGTACCCATTATTCAGTAGAGCTTCTCAAGGTTTTTCTTGGTAGACAGACTTGGCAGGAGGTATGTAAGTGGCACGTGCTCTTACTGGGATTCAGGTCATGCCGCTGGTGCTGACCACTTGTGTCTGAACAGGCACCATGGTTTTAACTCTTCCCTGAGTCACCCCACCAAGGTGTGCCAACATACTGTTTTGGCTATGGCAGTTGGGAGTAGAGCAGTAGATGTTACTGTACATCTTGCTCCAAGATCAAGTTAAAATCTTAAAGGACATCAGCCTCGTCTCAGCTTTGTCTACAGTCTGAAGATCGCATTAGCTTTTCAGCCTCAGAAACCCGTGTGATCTTAGTCCTGCTTTTCCTGTCGGAGGTCACCGTCCTCTCCTCTGTACTGTAGCTGTGTTCACGCATTTGTCCTTGCCTTCATAGCTCATAAACACACTGACAGTGAATCTGGCTGCTCAACGCGCTGCAAATGCGACGTGAAAGGTGCTGACGGCCGCAATTATGATCTCGCACGTTAAAAGGAGCATAAAGCACTTTGCGTTGGATGGCCATTAATGATCGCTGATTGTTTCTGACAGTTGGGATTTTGCAATATAAATTGGTTTCTGGGCCTCTCCTCTGAACCTCTTTTATGCCTGATATCTGATTCCGGAGCTGCAGATTTAAAGCAGCCTTTATTAGACGTGCTTTGTTTTTCTACAGGAACGGACAAGTCATTCTGGTACAGTTACAAGTTGTTCTTCATGTCCTGGTTTTGGTGAATGTCCTGTATGGAACTGACAAAATATCGACACACTATACTGCGATGGGCCAGGATAACAAGAAATCAGATCAGTTTGTCCAATATTTTGAGCCTAGGAGGTCAGCTCATGAGCATTTTTCTGACGTCAGAGCATCAATGATTACGTGCGGCAGTAATAATTTTCATTTGTGCAGTAACTATCTTCCCTGTTGTCTCTGTCTTGAAGTGATAAAGTGTTGTATCGATAATCTGTAATATAAAATAGTTTTTAGTTAAAATATTGTTTTTTTTTACCTTTTTCTAAAATGGAAAGGTGACTTTGGCATTACATTTGCATAATAAAAGGAAAATGACTTGTTGACAGAGGAGTTTGCTTACTTAATTAGCCTCCAACTGAGTGAAGGACTTTCTCTGGTCATTAGGTTTACTAACACAAAGCAAACGCCACTAATTTCACCTGCTGCAGATGTGCATTCAGTCTCAGGGGGGAGAGGCACTGGATATTACACACGCAAGCCTTTGTTATGGTTTATTTAGTTTTTTTTTTTTAAATAGGTGATGTCATGACGACCATCTGCTGTAGGGCTACTCAGCCTCGTCTCATAACAGCCTGCGCCTGAGGCTCGTAAACAGTGAAACGCGTTTGCCGGCGTGCAGCTGAGCTGCACTGTGGGCCGATGCACAGCATGTAATCACTCCACGCGCCGTAATTGTCCACATCAGGAATGCAACACAGTTTTTCACACAAAGTTACGGTGGCTTTAGTCTTACTAAAGCTGAAATAAAAACTTCAGACTGGGAGGGGGGAAATGCATCATTTGTCCCAATATTATGATCTTAATTTAAAATATAGTGTCCATCCTTTTTTATCGCCTTGAGGTTAAGAAATGTTCTTGGATGTTCTGTCATTTCATTTATTCCCCAAATGCCTCCAGTTGTGTAACTGTTGTTACTTTTACAGAAATTAAAGTAAGCAGACTGTACGTTTATGTGGAAGAAATGTCATGACATGTGAACATCATGCAAAACTGAAGATGTATGCTTTAGGAAAACTGTCATATATGTATGATAGTTTATACGATATACTGATAATTTAGGTCCAGTATTTGGAGGTCATGCAAATTGCTGGTGTGAATATGGATTTTGTTTAATTTTAAGAGGAACCAAATGTGGACATTAAAGGAAATTCTGGAATTGTGCGAATCCCATAATGAGCATCGGTAACCATAGACACCATGCATATTCCTTTAAACTTAAATCCGTGGGCGGGGGGGGACGACACACACCATACTGAGCTGCGTTTTCACAGTAACAAAAAAGTACTTGATCTATTCCTGTCATGTTGAAGGTTCTGCATTTGACAGAATCCCATGTTTAATGTTCCTGTTTAATATATATTCTTGATTATGACTTTGACACTCTTTAATTGTGAGGTATAAAACGTGTCTGTTAACATCACCATATACATGAAGGCTAAACTGTGAAACCCCAGACGGGGGGTTTCCCTCTATAAGGGCTGTATGTCCCCTACTGCATCGGCAGATGCCCCCCCCCTCCAGAACGTCCCCTGGAGCCCGATGAACAGACGAAGGAGATACTGCACAGGCTTTACACGACCGGGGGCTGAACGTGTGGGAGGGGGCGGCCCTGAACCTGCAGGGTGGTGGTCTTGAGTGCATGGAGCCTCCCCCCCCCCCCCGCCCCCATCTCTGAGGTCAAAGGTTTAACCCCCCCCCAGCACTCTCAAAGCAGGCCATTTGCAATGGGGGTGTGACGGCTGCTGACTGACGCGTGGAGGGCTGCCAGCCAAGCAGGAGGGGCCCTGGAATGCACCCCCCGCCCTCCAGAGTGTCAGGAGAAGCCAGCAAGGGCTGATTCACAGTATTTGGAGAGAGGCTGACAGTTACTGGAAACAGAACCATCGGGAGACTGCATCTCACCCCCCTCAGCCACCTTCTCCCCTGTGCCTCCTCAGAGGTCCAACCAGCTGGCATCTGGCAAGACGCTCCCCTCCTCAGGTGGACTCTAATCGCATCCACGCCGGCTGGATGGAACCGATCCCCGCCAGGAATTGAGCCCAGAAGATCTCTAGAAAACGAGCGTCCCGCTCTCTGAAGTGACCGGAACGTTGTGATGGCAGTTCCGGGGTATCAATGGGCTTCCCTTCTGCTGCTGGTGGGGATGATCTTGCAGAGTACGACCCTGGCGGTTGGAAGCAGCTCCCCCAGACTGAGGCTGTCCCACAAAGGTAGGTGACACTGGGGGGGTAGCACAAGGAGGACACTTGGCGTGAGGATGAGGTGATCAGAGCGCTGTTTGTTCAGACCCCACAGTATTCCGTGCAGTGTGTCTCTTTGGTATCCACTTGTTTATGTCTGTTTGTATCTAATAAACGTTGTCTGTAATCCTCAGTGGTGTGTACTGTCTCGCAATCTCAGTCCTGTAATTACAGTTAAAAAAGACCTGGAATTTTCCATGTTTAAGTGTTAAGTACGCAGTAGGTTTGAAGGCAGGAATGGTGTTTGGAAATGCCGCGTTAACTTGGAAACAAGTTAACACTCGTGGAAAGGTGTGCACAACACGGGGCGAGAGCTGTTTTGTTCTGGTGTCTGTTGCGGCTGATGGGGCATGAGACAGGTGTTAGTATGGTTGTGGGATCTTTACCTATCACCTCCATCGTATCCCTGCATATGCTGGGCATCTCTGGGAGTAACAACATTCTTTTAGTCTAGCAAAAGTATTCGTAAGTGAGTGAAATGTTTGTTCTGAAAGACCGGGGAGTTTCACTCGGATATGTGCTTGAGACGTGGCATGGTGCCCTTTACCCCAAGAAATGGGTCACTTTGTAGATACGGCAGCACTGTTGTGGTACGGTGCCCCGCGACAGCATCACCAAAACAGAGCAGCATGGCAAGTGCAGTTTTAGTGTCACTGTTGGATCTGCAACCCTGTGAAATTCCTTTTGTTGAAATCGTCTGAGAATACGAGCCTGCTTCATTATTTACAGCTGGTAAAACTTTGCCGACAAAAAATTGCAACGAAAATTTTGACCCATGTGTTTTCTGGATGTTCTGTAGATTCATCTGATATTTCACAAAATGCATAATCATTAATGATTAAGAGACCTACAAATGAATCACCGACTCACATCTTTGGGTAAGGAGATATACTGTATGCATGATTTCTGAGTCTGACTTTGGGTCAGAGTTCCTGACACTTGTAATGAATGATCTTTGTGGAGGTTTGCATGCATCTTTAGGTTTCCTAAGGCCTAATATGCTGCCTAACTTCTTATAGCACGCTAAGTTGCACTTGTTGGAAAGAATGGATATGAATGGTGACTTGTCTGAGTGTGTGTTTTCTGGGAATATAAGGGGGTCTCTCCCTGTATGTGCTCTAGCAAGCCAAGACCACTTCTCTTTAGTTAATATGACTATCAGGACCCCCGTACCCCTCTTCAGATACATGCTAATCTTGGAATGTGCATAAACTACCTTGAAGCATTGTTAAGTGTATAACTGTGTGTATACCTTCTCATTAATGCAAACGGTCTGCTCCCCCCAAACAGCCAATCATACGACTGCAAATGAATACATCCATCACACAGACAGGGTGTACGAGCAAGATGCCTGATACAATCGGTTTTGCACGTGGCGTGATTGTTGGGCCTACATGTGACGGTCCAGCGATCCATCCGAAGAATTCATACACTGCAGTGTCTACAGTGAGGAACAAAACACAAAAACGTGTTAGTGAGAGAGGTGAATGGGGAAAAGCCAGACTCGTTAAAACTAAAAGGAAAGCCGCAAGTGCAATAACTGCTCGGTTCAACAGTGGTGTGCAGAAAGGCTTCTCGGAAGGCACTTGTTAACCTTTGACCCTGGAGACAAAAGGGGTCCTACTGGGCAGGAGACCAGGCTACCTAATAAAGTGGCCACTGACAGTATGTATTGTTTTATCAGAAGTCCTTTGCATATTTTTTCTGTTTACATGGCTAAAGCTTGCAAAGAGTCTCCGGTCAAGTTGCTGAAAGCCGCAGCAGCAGTGATCCTCTTTGAGCCGGAACCTGAAATGTTTCAGTACCTGTTGACATATCTAGCATGTGTTTGTATGTTATGGTTTCATTTCTGTATTGATTTAAGGGGTCAGTAACAGAAAACAGGCCAGTTATATTCTGTCAGCGAGCCAATACAAGAATGGGAATCTCACTGGGATTTCTGGAAACGTCATACATTAAGGTCTTGGCAGGCCCACACCAAGAAGAAAATCCATCTGCACCAACAGGCATAAACATTACAGTAGGTGGGATCGGCTTGGTGGCGTTGCCAACATTTTTTGGTTGTGTCGCAACCCCCAGCATGAAGGCGTTTCTCTGTGATGTAACAGTTGAGGTTAATGCCTCCATTGGACGTTATATAGTTAGCTACGGTGCTCTGTCAGCTCACAGCTGGAACAACAGCAGGTGGACAATGCAGTGAAGTTATTACTCTACTACTGACAGCCGGCTCTGAGCACATACACAAACGCACATACTTCTCTCTGTGAATTGGCCTGGCTCCCCAGGACGTCTTTTCCGCACCCTGAAGGGTGTTGGTTCTGGTGGGGGATGAGGCATTTCGCTGACAGGCTTAGATGCCTGTGATTTCATAATGATAGGATCCGACCCAAAAGTCCATTTCTGCTCCGTCTAGCAGGGTAGATCGTTATCAGTCTAGACACGTAAGACACAGTTAATCCTCTCTATCTGCCTGTGGTGATTCCATTCTACCATCCAAACTCCTTCACTGAGTTAAAAGGCCATTGCAATGCCTATGATTAAACACATATGATATTAAACTGTATTTTTTTCTAAATAATTAGTCAGAAGGATGTTCTGACAGGAGAAATGCAAATTATAATTCAGTAACGATCCGTCGCTTATTTTGACGGACCCCAAAAGCACATCTACAGTATCTCAATCACCCGCATCTTCAGGAAGGTTCAGCAAAGACGACCCCATGATGGTCCTGTAGAAAGCAATGATCTCCGTTCAGGTTTCCTGCATATACCCTGTAGGAGTACAGAACATACTCTTGGTTAGGCAGCATCTCTGAAGAGCAAAACTAAGTCCTACAATATGGAGATATTTAAAAAACAATACAGACATAACATGTATGTCATTTCATTAACTCCCAGCCTTGGGGGTGTTGTTGGGCATTTATGTTGCCATTGTCTATTAAGGGGGAGATACGCTACATCTTGTCCAGCGCTGAATGTCAGATCTGCTCCCCTTCAGGACAATGAACAGTGAGGTGCCTCTTAACCCCAGGCGACTCCAGCAGAAATGGCTGCTTCTTGGAAAAGCTGCTCCCATCCAGAACCACTGGTTTAATCTCCCTGGACGGTTCTCCCTCGACGCTGGTTGTTCCTCACCCGCTCACAGAGGCCCCAGCATGGCTTTGTCCAAAACCAGTTTTATGTTCCCAGTGGTCACAGTACCATGGTGAGCTGTTTATATTAAGGATTTTTTTTTGTGCTGTCAGTTTATTTTCCTGCAGTGCTGGGCTTCCCTTAAATGAAAAGTGACCTTTGATAATCATCCCCCTGCTCTTATGCATTTTTAAATGACCAAGAGGAAGTTCATGCCATCCCAACAGCGATTAACCTTTTTTATAGAATGATCTCACATCTGTTTCTCTTAATAATACTGGCGGCATCCAGATAATGCTTCACTTCAGTGGCTTGAATTTGAGGAGTGGGTTCTGTATCACTGCCGGTTTCACACTTCCTGCCGTGTTCCTTGAAAAAATAAATCCCAGGACTCTCTTAATGCGGACCACGGGTTCAGAGCCGCAGTAAGAGAGCAGCCATTGTCTGCTGAGAATGACAAAAACGAACGGGGCTGAAAGGTGAAGGAGTTTATCCATGCCTGAGGAATCACACTCTGTAACTCTTGGAATGCCTGCCACACAATCAGAGATGAATGGAGGGATGGATAGATGCGTGGATGGAAATATGAATATTTAGCACTTCTTTTTAGAGGCAAGCTATTCCTGGCATACTCGACAGTGTAGATTCTTCAGTCTAAGACATGAATTGTCACATAGATTTTCTGAGGTCTCATGCGACGCAGCTCCTGTGTTCACCAGTATCAGTGTGTTGAACTCGAATCCCTTGGTCTCATTATGAATTCTTCATGCTTTGCTTGATGATACAGTGTCTGGTAGCGAGTGACCATCGGTTGCCGTTTTAAGTGTAGTACAGTGTAGTGCAGCATGTACAGAACTTTCCGGAGGCTTGAAACCATCCAGCAGATGTGGTTGGGCTGGTCGCACCTGAAGTCACAGTGCAGGGCCAATCAGAAGGTCCATCTGCCTCCACAACCTGTTTTCAAATTAGAGATGCTCTGCAAGGTAAGAGAACCGCTGCATTAAATTAGCGACACTTGATCCTGCAAACGTCATTAACCTCTTCCACATTTTGCCTGCTGGCCAAAGAAAGCCTGCTGTGACATAATGATGTTTTGATAAAAAAGGTCTCCGTCATAATTAAGTCGTACAAACAAACCATCTTTCTCCTCAAAAAAAGAATGTGACTTCCAAAAATTCAGTAAGAAGCTTTTAAAACCCATCTTTTGTCCTCCTTCAAGGCTCCAGGCGGTTAAACACTGTTTATTTTCAAGGGTTTTCCACATATATAAAATGTCAAGCATTGCGTTTCTTTAAACCTCTTTTACACACTTAAACCATGCCCGTAAGTACAAGAAATTGTGATATATTTTGCTGCTTCACCGTTGCTTAAATATCTAAACTCTCAGGAGTGATTCCTCTGACAGCTGAAGTGTTCCCTCGATGTTTGCAAGGATATTTCTGGTCTATGGTCCAACACTGAACAGTTACAAAGCTGCAGGGGTTTATTTGAAAGAGTGCTTCACTGTTCTAAACCATCGGGGCTGGACAGTAGCAGGATTTCTGATTTTAGTCTCAGTGTTTAGTTTGAAAGGATACTATTACGACTAAACCTGTCTTGGTTTCAGGTAGTAATTACACGTGTGCTAGTTTTTCGGTAAATTTCTGTTATTTTGTACTGAGATACAAAAACAGTATTTTGCCTGGCTGGATTCAAGGTTACTATTGTATTCGTTCATCAGCTAAGTTTAATCTGAGAATGGTTTTAATACACAACCTCTATTACCGACAATGAATCCCCGATTTAACAATATATGGTATTTAATGGTGCATGAACACTTTTTATAATTTCCCAGGTATC